AAGAACAATAAAAAAAAATTCACATATTATTAAACTTTTATTTTTATTTTTTATTTTTACAAGAAATATACAATATTACAATCTATGCATATTATTCACAATAAGCGTATGTGAGATTAGAAAAAAAAACATGAGGTTGCGTGAATAAGGAGCCACCCATTAGTAGCACTTAGCTTGGAAGTATTATTAAACTTAAAAATTGATTTTTATTGATCGAAATACTTCAAATTATATTCTGCTTCAGATTATGAAAATTAAAATCTAAGTTGTCATCTATATAATTAAAAACGTAAAAAATGAGAACGATTAAAAATACTAAAAAATGTTGTTTGGTAACGACTTAAAATTATGCAAGAGAAATATTTTCAAAAAGTTAGTTTATTCTGAAATAATAAGTACTTATCTTACGTTAAATGGAGATCCTGGTATATGTAGAATGTAGATATTACTAGTTGAGTTGTATTTTAGTAAAATATATCCACATTAATTTTTATATAACTATGAATATAATATTATTATCATAATAATATACGATTTATAGAAGAAAGATGTATATTATATATTGGTATAAAGAGGTATGAAATATGAGTAGTATTGAAAAATTCTATGAAAATGCATTATTGTGTTTCCAGTAATATTATGGTTTATTAAGTGGTTTAAGAGTAAATACACCAGGTTATCAATATTGGAGAAGAAAAGTTAATCTGTGCCTGAATAAAAGTCAATTTTTTATATTTTAATTCCTAAACTCAATAATTCAAATTCAAAAAGTATAATATCACAAGTATTAGAGTTAAATATTGGACATTGAAAATAAAATATCGAAAATCGACTCCTATACAAGCCTAGATAAACTTCTTCCTCTTCAGTTTGTATAATATGTGTTTATACTATAATGTCACTCAGTAAGTTATATTATTGAAAATACGAAACTAAGTTTCAATGCTTCACTAAAATTCACATTTGTAATAATAATTATTAAAAATTAATAGTGTCACTAATTATTAGTGTGTAAAATGCTGAGTTACTAACATGTGAGTGCACGTGCGGAGCTCTCCGCTATTTATTTTATACACAGTCACTCACACTAATGACCACTTACTACGCACACATTTACACGACCCGCTTGCAAACAAATAGGAAATTGCCTATATTGAACTCCTTAGAAAACGGTCGGTATTCATACCCCTTAAACAGACGGAGTAAAAAAAATACAAAACAGGATCTAACAAGTACACCTAAAACAAAATATTATATTGTTATGAAATATTGGTCATACAAATAATAGTAACGTGAAAAACTAAAATGTATAAAACAATCGTTAATCACTTAATTAAGTTAGACATTTGTTGAGAATGTAACAAAATTAAAATTCTATAAAACGTGTAAGTATGTATTTAACTACCTGCAGTGTAAACTGTAAAGGTTACTGGTTAGTTAACGTATAAATATAGACTGTAATGATCGCAATTCCGCATACCATTTCCATATACCGATTAAAAGTATATTATGTACAGTAATCTCCTAATCTGAATAGGTAATGTAATCTGTTTAATTTTTTACAAGGTATTAATTTGTTCATTGTAATCATTAATACGATTTTTACAACTATTGCGAGCGACAATCACGTCTAAATACCTAATGCATTACGTGACCTCATATTAGAGTTATAACAATTGCCTCACAATTTATTTATTGATAAGAATCATTATAACCTACATATTGAGTTAATACGTATAATCTGTTATTTGATATATTTTTAAAATTCTAAAATCTCGTCATCACGCAATGAAGCTAAAATAATCTAGTCATTTAGATTTTATACAAAAATTTATAATACATCGTAGGTATATTTAATTCTTATTGATTTTACCTTGTCATAGGTTCAATATTATGAATACTTAAGTATATCTACTTTTATAATAATTTTACACTTTTACTTAGGTATATGAGTTTATTATAACAGAGAATAATTGTGACTGCCGCGGAAGTCGTACTTTATTGGTACGGTGGACAGTTCCCATCACACCATACGTATTAATACAAATAACAATAATTATTAATTAAGATCAGTGGTGGGTAATGGGTATCAGTATAATACAACCCTTCCACCCTACATGGTTATGGATCTAGATGTACAATAATTATATGTAAATTTAAAATGTAAACAACTACACAATTATATTAGACTATTAAGGCACGCGGGTAGGTACATTTAACAATTTTATGTTGGCAAGATACAAAGTAATAGGATAATAATTATAAACGAATTATATTATAATCTGTTATATAATTAATAATTATATTGGTGTACATTTAATTTTTTAATTTTGAAATCTATCGATTGGTACCGTTCTGGAGTTTTTTGTTCCTAACAGGCCGAATACTTCCACTACTAACCGTAGGTTACGTTTTCGATACCGGGTCGTTCATATTTGAATTTTATGGTTCATTTATCGGTTCGGTCAAAGTAGAATATTATCGAGATCTCCCTTTGGTGTCGGTTCTTTGGTAAGGAATTTCAAGATTTAGTCGGAGTGCCTTTTCTACACGTCCCCCTTAGGTTTTCAATTCGCCCGTTGCCCACTTCCTATATTAGGTTGTCGTTTACTATGGTATTTAATTTTTGGTCAGTTTGGGTATTACTCACCACGTATTTCGTATTGGGGAACAGCGTGTCAAATTATGTTCTCATATTACGTCCTATCAATAGTTTCGCTGGCGACTGGCGCGGCGTGTCGTGGAATGCGGCGTATTGCGATAATATAATAACAACAATTTGTGCATTGTTGGTAATTTTGTATTTTGGAAACATTTTTATAATTTAGCTCCTAATGCGGTCACGCTATTGGTTTCAGGATGAAACGGTGCCCCAACTAAATGTCTGGTGCAAAGTGTGTTGAATTCGGTCCCTGTGAAACATTCAGCCCCATCTGAAGTGATCGATTTGGCCATTCGGGTATGCCGAAATATGCGAACAACTTCTGCATTTTTGTTATTACCAAGGTCGCCGTGCACGAATTAGTTTGGAAAGCTTCGAGCCATTTCGATGTCACGTCAATAAGAAGTTTTTATTTTTAAAACGGCCTTCAAAATGTACTTGCAGGCGAGACCACGGTTGCTTTGGCTATTCCCACGGAGTGAGTTAGGCCTTTAGCGGTGAGGACCTCACTTGTACATAATTCTTTCAATTACGCACTAGGTTTTCGATGTGAGTGATGTGACTATTGAGCATCTCCACCAAAAATACGAGCTTGCGATAAATTTTATCCTACTCATGCCCGAATGTAGTTTTTGCACTAGTGCCGCTCTGAACTTATCGGGGGACGGTAATATTATAATTCGATATCCCCACATGAGACAATCTTGTTCCTTGGTTATCCCATATTCGTTGTCATCTTCGTCATTCACTAACATGAGTTTATTATAACAGAGTACAATTGTGACTGTCCTTTTACCAATTAGTATCATATATTTGTCTATAATTTTAAGTAATTATTGCATTTTTGGGCCTAGATAGCCTAGATGACCTAACCAACAATATAGTTTTTTCTCTGCAGACTATTCATATACAGTGTTCAACTCAGAATCGAAGGTCTCAAAAGTATATAGGTATAGCTATCTAATTTTCTCATCCTTAAACTCGTCTACCCTACTCACGACTGTAGAGTGTATAGAGTTATGCTGAATATGACCTTATGGATGTATAGTGTATACTGTATGTATATTGTATACGTATAAATGATATGGATTTTATTTTGGTGAATTTTAGTATTATTGATTTGAATACAAATGTAAAATACTCTCATAAGTTTAGCCTAGTAAGTAGTAATGAAAAAAAAAAAAAAATTATTTTATTTTATTTTCTAACAAAATTGTTTAACTTAAACATCACAAAGAGATAATACTATTTCTCGTACCGGTGGTATCGTTACAAAATATATTAACACCATATTATATATGGAAATTCACATTGTCAAAACTAAATTAAAGTCTTAAATAAAATAGAAGTAAAAGAATACAATTTACCTTGTACAAATAGGCTGGGTACAACTTTTACAAAACTAAAAAAACTGTACAAATTAGGTAGGTATTTAGTAGGTATATAAACAAAAATATTTCATAAATATATAATATTTTAAGACGTTTTAACTGGTTTCTCATAATATTGTCCGACATAGAGAAGAATACTGTACAATACCACATCGTAAAATGGTTATAACTTATAAATTAATAATTATAATTAGTTCTATAGGTACATCTGTAATAATCGACAAATTATTTTTTGGAGGTTCATTTTATGTAAGATATTTACATAAAATATTTCAATATTAACATCTAGGTCATAGACGATATATTATAATATATACCTATATTATATACATATTTACTACATAGAAACTTGGTCTAAGTAATAATTGTAAACTATTTAAGTACATAATATAAAATATTAAAATTAATAATATTGTTAATTTAGTTCAATATAATTTACAACAATTTTTATTTTTTAAACACTAGTTTTAGTGTCAAACTTACAGTTCAAAATTATTTTTAAAAATACTTAAAAAATATATTTGGAAAATAATATGTTAAGTACTAGGTAATATATTATATTGATTTTTAAAAATTGAAATTGAAATACAAAATATTATTTTAAAACAATATAATGAAAATAATATAATCACCTAGGAATAACATGCCTACAGCAGGAACAATTTTAAAATGTTTGATGAACTGTACTTAATCAAAAGCTACAAAACATGTTCGATTTCAAAGCTTTATTAAAATATGGAGCGATTTCACTGGACCAAACCGAGTTTTACAAGCGAAAATTAATTTAATAATTAAAAAATGTGAATTAAACCATTAGCTCTAAATATTGCCCAAGTTATAATCTAACCTTTAACGTAAGACTGTATTGGTATGAAAAATTATTCGTTCGTAATAATAGATGAACAAAAAAATGTAACACGCTCGGTGGACCCGACTGGTCGCCTACATCAGACTTGAGTGCATAACATTTCGGTTTCGGATTCAAATGTCTCTTGCGAATCTCTTGCAGTTTCTATCGTATCGACCGGTATAGTCATATACAAAATATTATGATCATTCCCACAACTCGGTGGTAAATTATGAACCTGCAGTGTAGGTTTCAAACGATGGATTGCCAAACACTCGTCGTACGGCGGCGGTAACTCGTCGTACGAAGGTGGTGGCTCGTCGATAGGTGACGTTAAAAATAAGCGTGCACTGTCGTAGTAATTAAAAGTATTAAGCTCGACGTAATTTAAATCAGAAGTCTGCATTGGTGTACTTGCGACGTGTGTCCTAGTGATTTGCGTATCTTCATACGAAGGAGGCGGGTCACTAAGGTCATTGTCATATCTCGTATTGATATTCAACGGCATTACACAACTTTGGTCATCACTGTTAGTGGACGACAGACTTTCATCTGATAGAATTTGATTTAAACTTGAATTTATTCTTCTTGTAGATCCTATACAGTGAAAAAAAGATATTTATAGGTATAGATACATGGAATTGTATTTATATACATAGTCATTTTTACATATATATATAATATATATATACATATATATATTTAGGTATATCATTCTATCATAATGTAATAACTATCAAATTTGCTATTAATACTATATATTTGTTTACTCGAGGTAATTCACCAAACGGCGATGAGGATACCTTTTTTACTCCAGTTAGTTAAAATCTGATATTTTGAACTTTTAAATATACTTAAAGACCACACTTCATTTCCTTGAGATTTTATGTACTAGATACTTGAGTTATGAGGATAGTGTCTTGTGGAGATACAAACTTGTGTTTTTAAAATGAGAACAACACCCTGTTGACGTATGTTGACAGTTGACGTATCAAAATAAAAATTGTATAACTAGTAGTTTTTGAGTTATTTAATATTGTGTACTATAAGGATAAATGTGTTCACCATAATGTGTTTGGAAAATGTGGGGGCAATGGGGATTCGAAAATGTTAATAATTAATAATCACTATATATATAAAAATGGACACTAATCCTTAGTCATGGCATCACTTGAGAACGCATTTACTGATTAAGCTGATTTTTTTTCTGTTGTGTTTGAATTTTCCAGGACAAGGCTTAAAGAAAATTGTAGGAAAATCCACAGGATAAGTAGTAAATCTGAATGTCAAAAATACATCAGTAGCGCCATCTGTCCAGCAAGAAAATAAACTAAATAATAATATATTTTTGCTTATTGGAAGGTTGATATTGGTTATGATTAAACAATGAACATAATTATAGTCCTATTTATTATATTTAGTCAAAACCATATAACTTAGTTAACATGGTATTCCTAACGCTAATTTTTCGACCATTGTCCCGGGACCTTCACATGCACATCATAAACAACGTGTTAATAAAATATTTGTAATTACGTATACCCCACAAGGGGTCTGCAATTCACCGCAGGTGGTTTGCCCACCTGAAAATATATTGCTCGCATAATCACAAACATGTCTCACAGGAAACGCCGATCGGGATGGCTATAATATAATAAAAGCGAACGTGTCCTGCCTGACTCACTGACTGATCAACTTAGATCCTAAATGATGATGGCTTGAGGCTTGCAATTTCCATGGTACCTTCGTACCACCATGTAAGTGTGCACTAAGAAATCATCTTCCAAAATTCACATTTTATAAAGTGGTGCTTGCACAAGTAATTTGAGATTCAAGATGTTGAACATTTCTAAGTTTTGAACAACATACACTGAATATTAAATAACAAATTGAACAAGGTTTGAATCATATATAGTTGGTACATTTAAATTTCAACGATTTGTACGGGACAGCTAGTAATCTATAAAAATGGACCAAGTATAATAATTAATACTAAATTCAATATGATATCAATTTTTCAGTTTTGTAATATCATTTTTAAGGAGTAGATATTATTCTTATTATAAACATTTTAATAACTGAAAAACCACTCTCTACATTTTAAATTAGGCACATCAAAATATTCAAAAAATTATCCATTAAATAATTTAGAGTAAAAAGGGTCAATATTCTGAGAAACAGTAGTTTGTATTACCACATGACACTCCTTAAGTAGTACAAAAAACCTCAAGAATTTAATAATATATTATTGTCATTAAGTAGGTATATTATTACTAATAGTATTTAAAAATTCCAAAAATTTAAATAAATTCATTACTATTAAGTAAAAGATTGACAGGTGAGCATCATGCTATAGTACATGAATTACTTTTTAATTTCTATACACAGTGCTATTTTATTAAGTTTATTATGTATGAAATATTAGGGACGATTTTTACTTTTCAAATACCTAGGTACCTATAGTTGTATATGTATTACATTTTATAATAATAATATATTTATAGAGTAAAATAAAAATATTATTCATACTTGATTCGAAGCAATCTCCAGATGCGTGTATTATAAACATATACAATACACACATGCATATAAACATTTTGAATATAAATCCAATATTTCGAAGACTAAATGTCGTGGCCGGAGCACTAAATTCGGTATTTGCTTGATAAGTTTTGTTTTTGCATAAATTAATATTTATGGGATCCGTGCAAAATTCCTAGATTGAAATTTAGAAACTTTTAAACTAATAAAAATCTACAAATTATTACTAATTATTTTCAACAAATGTGCATTTTAACAATTACTTTCGAATTGATTATGACGATTACTACACATTTTAAATGCTTACATGCTGAAAATAAAATAATTCTTAGTATAGATTAACGAATTTTTTTTTAAAGATTAACGACTGGGTTAATAACATAAATTATAGGGCACCTGGGAATTAGATCACTTTAGTTTTACATTTATTAACAGGTAGACCTAAAGATTGGACCACTATTTAAATAGATTTTTATTATATTATCCCGTAAGCAGAACTGCAGAAGATTTTACTCCAATCAGCATTTACCTGCACCAAATTATCACAGTATTACATCATATTAATAAATGCATAAACATGCTGAACACTAGAAGAGTATAAAAAATAATTGTTAATTGAAAATTCAAAGATTGTCATTATAATCATATAGATACAAACAATTAAAAATAAATTGTATTAATTCAATTGAATTGTAGGTATAGTCATAATTATATAAATGTACATGCAAATAATATTATATATAGATTATAGATATTAAATAATATAATATAAGATTTTTAAGTTTAAAAATAATGAAGATATAAAGCAATGAGTTTTTGTTAAATAAGCTTTTAAAATTCAAATTTTGACAAAACTCTTCAAAATCTAAATTATAATAAATTAAAATTTTTTTATTAGTAAAAAGTTTTATTTAATTTATAGTGTAGTTTTTGACGTTCAAAGCCCGTTGTAAATGAACAAATGATAGATGCTACTAGAAATTTAGAAAACAACTCGCGATTTTTGATATACACCTTCTTCAGTTCTATTGTTAAATAATATTGATGTGCTAATGATGTATGAGCTAAACATCGAAAGATGGGCAACTGTTTTACAAAAAAGGTCAAAATTAACAATAGTGATGCAAAAATGACATGGAGACGTGGAGCTGTACATCGTGATCTATATAGGACTTCTGAAAAGGTACCAACATGAACAATTTAGGGATATGGATAAAATTGTATCGAATGTTTTTTAAAAAAGCGCCATCACGTAAATATTACATATTTTTTGCATATTTCCCAAATTTTTACTGCATATTATGATGCTTTTTAAAGCATATTTGAGTAATTTTGAAAGCATAAAGTTTCGAGCCTTTTTTATAACAAATAATAGCTACATATTTAAGATTGTAAGATTGAAATTCATGATGACTTCCTAATAAATTAAAATAACGTTTTGAAATAAATATTTTGCAATTATAGTGAAAATGGTTTTTTTTGGTATTTATAAAACATAAAAAACATATTTTATATCTCAATTTTTCCTTATCTTGCATGTTGAATTGTTGATATTCATACAATATTGAGTCATTTTTACTTCGAAATAAGTGTTAATATTTATCTGTCTCAAAATATTGTAATACACAGTTAAGCTGTAATAAACGTATCATAATATAATTACCTAAATGTCTATTTTAAAATTAAAAACTAAATATTATTTAAATAAATTTAATCAAATAAATTCTAACATATTTGTCTGCGGTTATTATACATACTTCATTGCAATTTCCGGCCATAGGTTCACAGATACAAGATACACACGATTCGTTATTTATTGTAGACATTTTTTCGTTATTGCCAACTTTAAACAACGTATGCCTTGCAATAACATAATTACCTAGAGAAAAAAATTAGTTTAAAAATAAAAATTCATATGTTAGTGGTGTGATATTTCATACCTGATATCTGACTCCATACAATTATCAATAAAATAAAAATAATACTCATATTCGATTGAATGACATACACCACTACTAGTACATAAAATATTTATGTATTTAACTGACCTGCAATTTTATTCATTAATCAATAATATTTTAATTACCTACCTACATTTTACTACGATATCTAAAAACATTTTACTATGATATGCTGCGAGTATGATGCATTACTTGATACTGAGTATAATATAAAGATGACTACAATTTCTATCAAACAATTCAATAAAGGCCCGATTTGCTATAAAAATATTATACATTTTTTAGACTTTGGCATTTGGAATGTGTTTTGAATTTTAAATAAATGACAAATAATATTGTATGTACTCGAAAGTGATTCTGATCTGTGCTCGGTTCGCCCCAATATAAAGGTCATACCTACTAATTATTTCCACTAATTCAACGTTCAATCGCCAATTTATACTATTTTCTTGTCACCTTGAAATAATTATTAGATATCTATACATATATTTATTATTATCATTCTATCATTAGTATTTAATATTTTGTTTTTGGTCTAATAACAATAATTTAAAATAGTCGATAAGTGAAAACGAAAACATAAAACATTATCTCTGATTAATATTCAATACGAAATGAATCAAGACATTAATATTATCAAAAGACGAGTTTCAATACTTACTTGAAGGAAGATCGTAGATAACGAATAGTAGTATCATCGGAATAATTATAATATTGTGAAATGTTCATAAAATAAATATGTACATTATTAATACGTAGTCAATTGTACAGAACGTGCAAAATGAATACATCGACATAATTATTGTAATAATCAGAACCTTTCGACGTTGAAATAAACTGAGCGCGTACTATAGTAGGTATATCGTCGGACGTCGGTGATAGGTAATACGACATTAATAATAATTAGTAATTGTAGTAGGGGAGTGAAATACAGCTGTAATAAGAAAATGTTTTTGTCGTTTGGTACCTATGTTTTTTATCAATAGTTTTTAACATACGCATACTTGGAGCATTACGTGTGCTCAGATGGGTTGCAACGATTTGCACGCAATTTATTGAATAATAATCATATTTTACATTGACAAATCGTGACCATGTTTTTACACAAATCGTTTCTGAAAAACCAGTAACTACCTACAGATGATTTAAATTTTAAATTCAAATAAAAACTAAATTGTTAATTATTCGTCATTACGTAATAATTAAATTTTTATTGTTTTATAAATATTGACAAACATTCCTTATACCTATAGTAAATAAAAATAAACAGTGGGAAGAAAAATGTATACGTTTATATGTATATACAGGGTGTCCCGAAAGGATTTACTCATTGCGATATCTGCTGAGATAATAAATATATCATAAATCTGTTTTTTTTATTAGACTCAAAGAGACAAGAACTACGCATATTTAATTTTTTGATAAAAAAGTTTAAAAAAAATAGTTTTTTATTTACAACAAACTGAAGATAACCATTTTATAGAGTATACTTTTGTGAACATTTTGACTTTTTAACGTTTTATTTTCATTAGTCTTGCGACTTTTAATAATTTTTTTAATTTATAGGTAAAACAGCAAAAAAAACGGTTTTTGCCAGGGCGGCGAGTCCCCCTCTACGCCTAATAGGTATATCCTCACGGGACACTCTGTATACAATTTATTTATTATTTTTTTTTTCCACGGCATCAACTGTTTGGTTATTAGCTGACGTTTTATACTATTATGAATTACAAAAAAAAAAATCATTAATAGGTATTTATTATAAATTCTCTACCATTAATAAATTATGATAATAATATGTATATTATATTATGCAGAATTTATGTATTCTAAACTGAATGTTCTCCTCCCACGAAACAATTAACTATTTATTAACTATTATTAAATTTAAAACATTTTTTACTTAATATATAAAACAAATGTTAATGCATAACCATTGTTATTCTAATCAGCTCTATAATTCCTTCATTATAGACAATTATCATTTTATTATTAAGTATATCCTAAACTATGTCTAATTATTATTATATATTACTATCATTATTATTATCACTATAGTTATAACTACTTATAAGTTATAATTATAATTAATATTTATTACCTATATATTATGTTTTATGTATATCATAATATATATTCAATTAATTGTTGAGCTATAATAACTTTTGGTTCAAAGCTAATAATAAAAAAAAAACCATTGTTATGCGTTTCATTAAAATACTCATGTTTGCACTTTATTCATACGTATACTTTATTAATAAAGTCCTTTATCAAATAGCAGTTTTTAGTACCTAATTTGTTTGAACAAATAATAATTTAATCAGAATTTTACTTTTTTAGCATTTATGGATGAAATTGAAACTAGTATATTTGTTAAGGGAATCGGAAACAGCTAATTATGTCAATCAAAATGTACCAATCTCTAGTCAATCATAACAACGGACGACCTGATAACGTGATAAGGCTTCTGAAAACTAATTTGAATTCTTTAATATGTATATCTACTTGAGATCGATCAGGCCATTTTGTTGACATGTTGTTCTTAAATTATAAATATTATTTGAACATTTAAAATTTACTAAATATTAAATGTTAATAATTCGAAAATTTAATTAAATGTCTTAAAATGAGGCCTGATCTATCTAAAGTACTCGTAGATACAATATCACACATTAAGGAATTCAAATTAGTTTTGAGAAGTCTTATATCTCGTTATCAGGTCCGTCAGTAGGATTGACAAAAATTACATGCAAATGAGAATGTAACTTGTTCATACGCCTGCTGGAGCGCTCCGCTAATTCTTTTCACACATGCACAATCACTAATGATCAGTTACTAGTTACTACGCACACATTCGCAAGATCCGCATTCATAAAATTTGGAAATTGCCTATTTTGAATTCCTTAAAAGCCGTTCACTTGCAAACACCTTATATTTTATAGTTTATTTAGTTGGACTTGTCTGTTATCATTTTTCATATTATACAGTAGGTACCTACCTACATATTTAGTGATATGAAGGTTATTTGTACCTATTATCATTAAGTATATTTATTATATTGTATTTATACTCAATGCAACATTTCTATACTACCACCTTTATTGGATGAATCATAAAATGTTAACTTTTTTTAATCGCCATCTTTTGCAGAAGTGAAAATTCTTTTCACTTCAATATCTAGTTTATTCTTAACAAGGGATCAAAAGTAAAATGTAAATAATAATATCATTTATTAGAAAAAAGATCGACTAGTGGGTAACACTCTGCTAAGGATACCTATAATGTAGGTAGGTACCTACTTATTTTGAATTCTGAGACTGAACACGATATTATTTTGAGTTTGTTTGAAATCCTTATTTTGAGTAAACTTGTACTTTTTATGGCTATACTGTGTATTTTGAAGTAGGTACATTATGATTTCTAAGTTATAACAATATTGTACACGTGTGTGGGTGTTAGATCTATTAACATATAATTAACTGATAACATCTAAGATTTTAAAATGTAATACAGGATTCCTTATAATGTTATATCTACCTTTGTAAAAAAAAAAATGTCTATAAGAAAGCCAAATTCAATGTTTATGGGCGTTTAAAGTTCAAATTTTTACAACATAGGATATTCACTCGATTTCTCAAGTAGTGATTTTCTTATTTTGTTGTAATTCAAAAACGAATAACATTCGAAATTTATATCACTTGTTTATGTTATCAATCTTATACTTGATAACATTTTAAAAACATTTTTACTGTTTTTGAGCTGTTTACGGACATTTACATTTAACATTTTTTTTTTTATGTCATTATTTTTTTTTTATTTTTTAAAAAAATGTAAAAAATGAATAAAATGCTCCTGAAATATTGTTACTATAGTTGTTGAAAATTACTAAAAACATAGGCACACATTTTTTTATAAAGCATTTATTTAATTTGTTGTAATTCAAAAATAATTCTTGTGAGGATTTGAAACTATTACTTATAATATTATTATATTTTATGTACATTTTGGCATTTTTCAAACATTTATATTATTTTTAAGCTAATGCCTATTTATAGTTTATACCTTAATCCTGATCACTGTAAATTGTAAAATAAATTAATATAATAATTAATAGCACTTAGCAGCAATATATTTATAGATAATAAGCTAATATATCGTCTCCGCTCCGTATATTTTTTTGTCTGCAATGATTTATCCATTACTGAGACCTATACTCAATGACATGGTGCAATGGTGCATTGCATATCTGTTTGATATTAAATAATAAATAAATCAACATTAAAATCTGTTTCTTCTTCCATCGCTCACTAATCATTTAAATCATGCAGTTGAACAAGGTTTAAAATATTTTGTTATAATATTAACTCATTCGGTATAATTATATATATATATACTATATAACAAGGTTAACTCTTTACTATTTTAATAGTATGTAATATACCTACATATATGTATTATAATCAATATCAAAATATTAAATTGTTTATATGATTAAATAAATAAAATATATATATATTATATATTTATATTTGACCATAGGTATAAGTAGAGTAGATATTATTTTTGACATTACTACAGTACAATACAATATAATTATTTAATATTAGATGTCCAATCTCTAGAAAAAATATATACAACAATAATCGGTTAGTAACATACATAATTTAGTATTATAAAATAGCGTATAGGTCAAGTATATGATCATATGAAGTATAAATTACAAAAGCTCAGTGCACACAATTTCAAATTCCAATGATGTTGTATAAATATCTTGTTCACTTCTTAAAATATCATAGGCATATATGATATACATATATGTATATCATATCTATACATGGATATAAATCAATGACTTCCTAATTTCCTGGTAAATTATGATTTGAGATTATGGATGATAACTCACAACGCACTCGTCATATGAAGGTGGTGGGTCGTCGAATGGATATCTTGAAAAAGAAGCTACATTAGATGAATTAAGCTCCACATAATTTAAGCTAGAACTAAATGGTATAATTGTAGCTCGTGTGG